GCTCCTTTTGTGACAGCTCCCCCATCTCTGCCCCCGCACCCCTAACCGTGACACAGAGGAGGCCCTCCTCCCCCAGAGAGACAAGGGAGAACAACCCAGCAAGACGAGCAGAGAGAAACAAGCCTGCCCCCCCCCCCACAAAAAGCAGACAGTAAGGTGGGACTGCGTATATCGACTAGCATGCTCTCTCTTCTCAGCTCGACATTTTACAAATGGCTTTGATTTCCTTATGTTACATCTGCTCATCAAACAAACTGCTGCTTCACATTCTAGCTGGTTCATCCGCCGAATTAAACATGGCCACCGTGACGTGCTTCAGTGTCATGATGAGGACGGCTGAAGCTGTGGACCTCTGCACCTAGCTGCTTATCGCACCCCCCATCTGACAAAGGGACAAGTATAATTATAAGCCAACAGTGGCAATAACTCTGTTAACGGCACGATGAGCAGCGATCGGACTTGATCACTCCTGTTCGGCCATCTGTCATGGTGACCAAATGATTTTTTTTTCCTCCACAATGAAATTTCAACAAGAAAAATATCTGGCATGAAAAAAAATTCAACATATATGTATTGATGAACGTGCACATATTTTAATGGCCAGCCTGAATTCAAACCGCTACCTGCTCCAGGGTATTAAGTACTACAGAAGAGGAAATAAGACTCACAATTAAAACAGCAGAAGGTACTTCTTTGATTTTTTATTTTTTTTTTGGGGGGGGGGTGTTTTTATAACAAAGTTAAAATATCAGCAGCAAATCAGATGTTTTCCCGAATTTCCCTCATTTCCAAACCCATCCAGCTACCCAGATCACAGTAATCTGAACCTCGGAAAAACAACAACAACAGTTGCAGCTGTGTGACGGGAGAAGCCCTCTCTGGAAGAGTGTCAATTACCATTAGTCTCAGGCTCTATCCTAGTATGAAACTGTAATTGGGTTCACCAGCTTGCCAAGACTGTCACCATTCAGAGCCACCAAGAGCCGAATCGTAATGGCCGTACGTGTGCACAATAGCCGACTGTGCTTCCTGCCTTCAGCAGGCGAACACCAACAGGCTGGGAAGAAGGGGCACTGCAGGCGAGGTGTGTGTGTGTGTGTGTGTATATATATTACACTGTGGGGACCGAATGTCCCCACAATGTGAGACCTGTTATTTTTATGTTGTAGGGACCATTTTTTGGTCCCCACAAAGGAAAATGAATTGTATAAAAATCTGTGAATGAAACTAAAAAACTAAAAATGCCAAAAGTCTTATATTTTATCTGGTTACTTATGGTTAAGGTTAGGGTTGGGAAGGCCATAAGGTCGTCATAGTTAGGATTACGGTTATGCCAATAGAATTGAATGGAGACTCTCCACAAAGATATACTGTAGATACCTAATCCTTATGTGTGTGTGTGTGTGTGTATGTGTGAGTGAGTGAGAGATAGAGAGAGAGAGAGAGAGAGAGAGAGAGAGAGAGAGAGAGAGAGAACTGAGTCTAGGGTCCCTAACGACACATTGTGTTGCTTCATAATGAGAACGAATTAACGACAAGGTGTGACAGGGATCCCACCTCTACCGCCATGGTACCACGCAGAGGGTCCCCTTGGCAAACAAGGCTGAGCCTCAAGCCCACAGTCCTGCTCCCCACAGGGGTCACATTCATAGCAAAGGTCGCCAGAAGAAGAATCACTCCCCGTAGCGGAGGTAACTGGACTCCAGCTCTACCAGCTCCACCGTGCCTGTTTTCAGGAAGTCCGTGAATGAGACAAGATGAGAGGCGCCGTGCCAGGTTAGGGGCCCCTTCTGCCAGCTCGCCCCCCCAAAACCAAATAATGCACCAGTGAGTTGCCAACCCCCAATATGCTGTGGCAGCCAAAGCCCATTTTATTCACTCTCCAGAGCTCCATTGACAAATAAAACTGCTTTTTTCGGTAACATTGGCAAGACAATTACGAACCACAATTTCCAGCCATCCTGAGACTGCGCCAGTGATCTGAATTATACCTCATGATGCGATTATAAGAAGCCAATATACTTTACAGTGCTGGAGTAGCCTCTTAATTAAACTGATACGTTTAATGCCAGCTATCCGCAGTATATTTAACAAATGCAGAACCTTGACAGCCACATAAATAATGTCAGAGGTGATTTTCGGCAAATATCGTCAATAGGTACACTCTTCCCCCAGGCTATGCTAAGGGAGAGTAAAACCAGGCTGGTTACAACCACAATGGAGTGTGATTCACAATGTGGAGGTATTCATGATTAAGAGAAATGACAATAAGTGTATTAATTAATAACTACACAGTACCATATGGATAAACCCACATTTGGGATCCATTCCTTTTTTTTTTTTTTTTTACAAATAATTTCATGCTTCTCTAAGCTATGAGTGAATCAAAGGCAAAGTTGATGGGAGAACAATAGTATTGAAATAACACTGCCCAGTGTTACTCTAATGTTGCCCAGTGTTACTCCAATGTTGCCCAGTGTTACTCTAATGTTGCCCAGTGTTACTGCAATGTTGCCCAGTGTTACTCTAATCTTGCTTGCCTCCCACATCAGCAACCTTAAACAATTCACCCATTCATCCAGTTCCAGCAATCATCAATAATGGTTTGTGAGCCAATTCCTGGAAGCAAAGAGTGTAGCACAGTGAGCGCAGACGAGCCAGAGTAGGATCGCGGGCCTTTGATAGCTATCGGTCACGTTTTAGTAACTCTCGCCTGAGTGGGTGCTCCCTCTGGGTGACTGTGGTCTGTCTGACCAGAGGCACAATAGCATTGTTCTCAGACACACCAAAGGCAGACAGTAGGAAGCGGAAGAAACGTTAAAGCAGTTAGCATGGTTAGCGGAATAGCTTGCATGCTTGCCAGCCCACATGGCTGAATGAAAGACATTCATCTGAACGGCCCCAGAGCCTCTCCTCCCTGAGACGTCCTTTCCCATAACCCCTGGCCGGTTTTAGGGTCGTCTGAACCACACGCACTTCACAAACAGTCTGTTTCACTGGCACTATAACATTTTTTTATTGTCTATTATGTTGATGAAAGTTCATCGAAACAGCAGATGCCACACCAACAGCTGCAGCCGCCAGAGAACAAGTCTTTAAAAAATCATCAGAAAACACTACGGCATGTCTTTATGTTACCTTTTCATTTATATCACCTTTTCATATTTGTCTTGATTTGATGTTGAAATAAATTTCTTCTGAAAAGTGATTTCTACTATCAGAAAGGAATGGGCGACTACTTGTTTGAGAGTATATCCTACTTAAAGCACTCGGTGGTCTCACCTGAGGCAGTTCAAAAAAGATAATAGAGAAGATAAATAGGTTAAAAAAATAATAATCCAGGAGATGCCATCTTAAGTGGGGATGTACAGTAGGCTTGTTTTGATGGAAGGTTACTGACACAAGCTTGCTGTTTTGCTGTTGTTAGACTGGCATGATGCAGTGACCATCTGTAGTGCTTTAATATACCTGCAATATTTGCCCGGTACATAATGAAATCCATGACGTCTGTTTTATGCCAAGAACGGTCTATACCAAACATCATTTATTCAAAGCCTTTCGAATGCTTGCATTTTCCATTGCATGTTAATGACACAATCGGACACACACTCGTCCAAAATTAAACTGAAAACTACCACTCATTACCAAAGGAGTTGTATAATGTTTAGCACCTATAAATGCGACGGCATTTAATACGCAAGCAATATCAATTTGCGGAAGGCTTGACACTGGCACGCAATGTCGAAAGCTTACCCAAAAAATAGGAAACGAAATAATAATGCTAAATCGCAAATTAAACATAAATATATATTATATCCTAATGTAGCCTATAAGCAAAAATAACAATGTTATAGACAATTAGGAATTTTCATCAAAATCTACGTATGTTACAGCCTGGTTTCCCATAATTGTCAGATGTAACAGCATTAAGCAAACTGATTTTAAAATGAATAGCTCAGCTAAATGCTGCGTTTGACAACGTATGCTTTAATAATATCACTGAATACTGCGACTTTCTGAATCATAATATGCATTTCCCCAGCATCGTCGATAGTAAATAAAATCCATCCATCCATCCATCCACCCACCCACCCATCCATCCATCCTTCCATCCATCCATCTGGTCAGGGTGGAAAGTAAATACAGGTAAATTCAAATCGAAGAAGGCAGTAGAGGAACAGCGAGCGAGCACATGAATTAATGGCGTAACGTTTTAGAAAGAAATCAATTACAGCACAACGTGCCTCATTATTAACGAGACGTAACATTTATTTCAGCCATCAGCACTCGCGGGATACTTGAAACAGTGCTGTTGTCACCGATCGTTAAAGAAAACCGTATATGCGCTATAAAATGTCCATATGATGGGCATTTGGCTCGTATAGCCAAGGCCCATCCATTTACACCTGAGGGATACGGATAAATATCCGCAGTACTGCCAGTTGCTATGGAAAAGCCACAACTAGACGCCCTCCCCCTCGTCCTGGTGCCGACTGCACCAAATGCGCATTTTTATATTAGGAACCACCTAACGCTGCTGTCACATGCACAATTTGCTGCACTTTATAATTTCGAAATGCACTAACCTCTGAATGCTGATGTTGATGTTGCAGGTGCATTAGAAGCGGCCGTGTCTCGCCTCCGTGCTGCGGAGCCCCGTCCAGGCAGCGCCGATTCCCCAGTCCGCTCCCAGCAGCTCCCTGTTTAAACCTGCCAGCCCTGCCTTTACTGCGCAAGCTCCATGACAGCGTTACAGCAGCGACACCGGCTGCCGGTGGCAGGAACGCCGGCCCGGTCCGCCTGCGGGCGCCAGCCGAGGCACGCTGCTGTAGCAATCGGCACGAAGGAACACTGACTTAAGATTAAAATATTTAGCGCAAGTTCAACTGAGTTATTGCTGTTTTTTCCTTTTGTAACTGCGGTGTGTTTCCGATATCTTTATTATTACGAACCATTATCGTTAGAATGACATACATAATACACATTTCATATTTGGGTTTATGATTCTGCTGCACTGCATGTCACAGAGTTTCTTGTGAATTTCTCTGAAAAATTAAATCCACCATAGACCATGCCACGTGGTCCAAGGACACAAGAAAATTTAAAAGCACTCCAAAGCTCTTGGTGCCTGAGCTGTGCGGAGAGAAGTATGGGTGCCTTAATTTGAGCTGCCATTCTCGGGCTGCGATGGCTTAGGTACATCAGAACTGTTAAACAACAAGAGTGGAAGTGGGTTGACAGGCTAAAATAGGTGATGTTGACTGTAAGGAAGATGCGGGGGAGCAAGATCATACTCACGCAAATGACAATAGCCACACGCCAAATAGAAACAGGTGTTTCTGCTGGAAAGCTTCACTGTGTAACTATAATATGATAAGTCAACATATTCATCATTCTTTAGATCCGGGTTTTTATTCATGAGCAAAAAGCCATTTCAGCTATTCTTTTGGTGATCATCACTCTACATGAATGGAGATGGAAATGCTGTTTCTGTTAAAGAAGAACCAGTTTAGAAGGCACGTGCCTCTGGAAATATCTCCCGTTACCATGACTGGAGCGGGGGGGGTTTACCAGATGGTTTCTACACAAGACAAGGTGTCAAGCAGAGCTACTGTTACAAAGACTGCATAAAATGTATGTTATATAGCAAGGAACAGATTATCACCCATTCGACACAGTAAGGAAACTGAAGCTTGTGCTAAGATAAAATATATTCCTGAGGAAGCTGTCACAGAAAGTATTGGAATATGATAAAATATGTCTGTAATGTACAGGATGATATTTAAACTGAACAATATTTAGGTCAAACTCATGGGTTGCATAGAATAATTTGCATTTCCTCTGCGGCCTGAACTGAGAGTGGTAATGAATCCGTCCTGGAAATGGATCATTCTGGTTTCTCTTTTTCCCTGAAGACGACAGTGACGATGGGTCCCAGAGGTACTGATGTGCTACAGAACATAAAGCAAAGCCACCAGCGTCTGGCTGCAGGAGAACAGCCTCCTCCCAGCCCAACCCTCACCTGGATCATTAAGTTACGATATACCCATTATCCAATCGGCTTCTCCAGGATGTCCCCACTTTACCTGCAGCAAAGCATCATGGGATTTTTGCACGCATATATAAAAGTAACAGTTTGAAAAGCGAAGCAACACCGGTCCCAGCTCTCAGAAATCCGGTGGGCTACGGGACTCTCGGAAAGGGGCGTTTGGGTGTCAATCCGCAGGATTTTAGCTTGATCCTATTTGCAATAATCAAAAAACAGATTGTTCAGCATTGGGGAGGGCCAGGCTTGTGATTGGGTGAGCCGGACCCACCCAGCTCCCCCATGGGGTCTGGCTTGCTTGGAGACGTCATGGAATGTATTAAGATATGAGTTATGTTTGTATAATGATATTTAATATTGCTTACTTGGGTAAATCCTAGGCTGTATGAAGCAGTACCTGTAACCACGGCGATGCATGTGCCCAGCAAAATGCTGATGGAAAGATTGAGAGATGCTGTGAGGGCTGAAATGAGCTAGTGCCATGGAAACCATTTCATACAAGATTCAATTCATTCATTTTTGGAAGCAGGAGAATAGATTCACTATTAATCTGGCGGAAAAGAGAATAGATCACAACCAAGACTGGAAGTGAAGGTTAATGAAGGTATTATGCAATTTTAATTGATGATTTTTTATGGATTTGCCCATAAAATATTTTGCCATTCATGAAATGGTAACAGAAAACTAAAACTCATCTGTGTTTGTATCATTTTATATCCCAGGGTTTAAACAACCATGAAACACCAAAATGGGAACAATAGTACAATTCATCCTCGGGGTCCAATACACTGTGCAAATGAGAATGCAAAGCATGCACACCAACAATTACACAATCCTTTCCTCTGCTTTCCATGACAGCAACCCACATTTCCGTAATCTACACTCGCAGTCCTTCTGTGAGGACTTCATAAGGGAAACACTGGGGTTATAGTACAAGAAGCAGCAGATTAAAATTAATGCAACCTTAAAAAATGTACATTTTCTTCATTCTGAGTACATTACTTCCACGCTAATAAGCATTACTTTTATATAGCTGTTAATCTGATGAACCACTTGATCTGAACATCTGACTTCTTTGACCCCAGTAATCTGTTACAAAGAGGCCAGAGAATCAGCAAGAGGCAACAACCAAACTCAATATTTCAATGTAATTTTAATAGAGGATCATTTGAAAAGTGATTCACTGACTAGATAGCTGCAGCTGGGGGGGGGGAGACGCTCTTTACAGTGCTACTGCTAAAGTAATAATAATAATAATAATAATAATAATAATAATAATAATAATAATAAATAGACAGCAGACAGTGAACAGCAATCTGGTCAGGCAATCATTTCTGGGAACAGCTGTGAGAAAACAATTTATTTCATTCCATTATCTGGCCAATTGAACAATATAGCGCATGCATGAAATAGCAGCTGCCGCTTAAATTCATGGGTGACGTTCAGCCATTTCAGGCCATGCCGTTTAAAGCAGCAGAATTTTCCGGAGGCTATCTGGAGGCCCGGTATTATGTCTCGGTGAAAGTAATGTTTGCACGTGGGGGCTTGTTTTTGGTGTCTTCCTGCTGCTCTGAGGGATGGGGCCAGTTTCATTTAGCCGTAGCTCGCAGCAGAGAGCACATGCCTATATTACAACGCATGACCTTATTCTCAAGCTCTTAAAAAGTCATGAATTCATCTCATACAAATAACCAGCAATAAGCTTCCAAGATTCTTTCATCCAAACTAATAACAAAAGCAAAACTCAAACTGGGAAATAAACCAAGCGTTATAATTGCGATACAGAACATTTAGCGGCAGTGCAGTTTACATTATTCAGTAACAGGGAGACCATTTGGGATTGTATGAGTCGGCTTTTATTCTCTGGTTGCCGGAATTTTGTAGAATAGCTTAGGGTAGAGATTAGTAACCCCACATATTTATTATTAAAATGTTAGTAAAGCATACAGATGTCCTATCAGGTTAAACTGCGTTATTTTCTGAAAAAAGTGTCAGCAGTGTTTAAAAATGGAAAACCAGCAAAACCCAGCAGACCAGTGGCTCTTCCTCAAGTAGCAGTGAAACCTTGTGTTAAACTGACAGTTTATCTCACACACCAGCAATACTGGCCATAGTTTGTACATTCACAGAGAAACAGCAAGTAAAAATGAGGTTGATGAGGTAAAACGGCACATGAAAATGTAGCTTTTTGTATAAATGTGACAAACAGGAGCAGAAATCAACAAATTCAAACAGTAATGGTATAAGTAACCACAAGGAGCCAAACACGCCTCCATGCAAAGCTGCAGTCAAATGTTTCATATTCGGTCACCTTATCTGGCTGCCCAGTGCACCCCGAGATGACCATGCACTGGATATGCGGTACAGAAAATGGATCGATGGACATATGAACAGACAATAGACATACAGTATGACCTGTGCAGGTGAGGCAGTATTTCCGGGATTTCAGATATGACCCCTGGAAGGACGTTGCCTTATCTTGCCCTGGACACAGAGAAGGAATCCCTGTCATGCCGGATATGGGGGGAGGGGGAGTGTCACTGGAGCAGAGGGTAAGGGGGGGGTCACTGGAGCAGAGGGTCCCTTTCTGTTTTAATGCTCTGTTGAGTAGATTTCCCACCTCTAACCATGACATTGTTTTGGTGGTCAGATTTCTGAGCGCTTCTTGTTGACCTGCCCCTGATGACCAGGACACAGGCTGACGGCCCATCAACATCTCACTGGCCATGGAGGAGGGCAGAATTTTCTTTCATGCTTTGCAATAAAAAAAAAAAAACGTCCTCCCTCTGATAGAGAATTACTGATGTCTGACGTGAAACCAGCTTCATGAGCTCCAGGACCTGGAGAAGAAGGGGACACGTTTCATGCCACGGAGCATGGCCCCCCTGAGCGCAGCCCTCTCGCCAAGCCTCTGGAGGGCGCTCTTTTCCCCCAGCAGCACGCTGGCCGCCCTGCGCAGTTTGTGCTCATTGCGCTCCAGGTAACTCTGGCTCTCAGCCTGCAGCAGTGCCAGACGCTCCCTGCGTCGCTCGTCCAGGGGGATGTCCTCCCTCAGGTAGGGGCTGAAGCGGAAGTAGGTGTTGGGGGGCAGGAGGGCATCCAGCATGGTGTGAACCTCTGATGGTGGTGGTGGTGGTGAGGGGGGGGCAGACATATAACATTTTAAATGCACAGGTGCACAAAATACAGCACACCACACAAATGAATGGGATATACGCTCTTATCAGGAATTACGATGCCAACCGACTAATGAGACAGAATTCATTTATGTTTATACCGGGGGCAATTTGAGGCAAAAGCCCCCTGAAGATCTAATGAACGCTACCCCCATTCCAGATAAAATCTGACAAGCAGAGTGTGTGTGTGTGTGTGTGTGTGGGGGGGGGGGGGGTCCCATGGTTAAATTTGCTGAGCAGGGGGTATGAAATTCATATGAGAATATGGGACAAATCAATAATTGTTTTTTGAGTAATAAAGCTGTGCTCTGCTCTGTGTAATGAGACATGGCAGGAAGGCCCACCCACCTTCAGTGTCCGTGGCACTGCTAATGACGTGGCTCAGCTTGGTCTTCAGGCTGGTGTAAGTGGCGCTGTAGCGACCGGAGCTCTCCAGCCGGCCGGTGCCCAGTGACACCACGCACTGCAGCCGGGTCCCGGGCCAGAGACACTGACTCTCGTGAAGAGCCACCGCTGTGGGGTTGTTGACCAGGAGGCCGCCATCCTGTGGCGCAAAGGTCGGGTCAGAGGTCACAGGGGTTACAGCAGGTTTACAGGAAGCATGTAAGAGGTAACAATGGCTCAGCAAATGTCACCGGTGACAGCCTGATACGGAAAGAGCGTGAGAAAAATGGAGGTTAAGCAATCCAGCACGTTATAAAGAAAAACATTTGCCAAGGCGATAGGTAACTGGCCAGTGTCTGGTTTATTGGTTTAGTGTTTGAACCAGTGATTGATGATGATGGTCGACAAAATGGGAGCTACGGGTGACCTAAGCCTGCCAGTTTCTTCCAAATTAATTGTGTGCAAACAAACAGAATGAAGCTGTCCAGAGCAGTGGGGCCCAGCACACATGTGGCCTCTGCGAGCATAATGTGTGTAAGTGGGGGGGTCCATCAGCTCTGTTTCTACTCCAAGTCAACCAGATCACCAACTTCACGAAGGGCCAGATGATTCTGCATGTTCCAGGGAGAAGGTTCCGGAAGCTGAGGGGGCTCGGGCAGATTCGGCCACACAACTACCAGGTTTTTACTCATCAAGATCAAGAATTTTTATAATAATAATAATTGACCCTTTATTGTCCCCGTGGGGAAATTCTTTTTACGCCTCCCTCAACTTGCTCTTTATAGAGCAAGCTGTCCGCAAAGGGCCTTTCCTATAGAACAGGTCTATACATGGTCCTTTTATCAGTGTCTCCCCCCCAGCTGTAAACCTAGGGGAAACACTGACACAAGTACAATGACATTTAGAAGCTCCCCCCGTATTGACATACATAACATGTAATAACTGCACTATACAACATTAAGTGACTAAACTGTACAAGCATAGGATACAGGAATACATATCTGTGGGAATTCACTAAGAAATATTAAATTAAAAAGCTCTATACACATTGCACTGTCATGAAGTAACCATGCAAACATATGATGTATACAAATATGAAGGTGTAGCACTGCAGTTTTTGGTGCAGATATGAAGGTGTAGCACTGCAGTTTTAAGGCGCAGATATGAAGGTGTGGCACTGCAGTTTCAAGGTGCAGATATAAAGGTATGGCACTGCAGTTTTCAGGCGCAGATATGAAGGTGTAGCACTGCAGTTTTAAGGCGCAGATATGAAGGTGTAGCACTGCAGTTTTTCATGCAGATATGAAGGTGTGGCACTGCAGTTTTTGGTGCAGATATGAAGGTGT